TCAATTTATCTTTTATTTTATCAAGATTAGCCTCACAAAAGTTTCTATATCTTTTAATTTTATTACTTTGGTTCTCTGAACTTGAAAGAAAGTCAACCGATATTACCAAATGATCTGTGATTCTTGGACTTAAATGAACCTTAGTTCTAATATTGTTTTGGTTTGTTATAACATAATCAATCAATGTTTCCGATTCTAATGTGATACGAGTTGGTTCTGATACATACTGCTTCAATCCATAGGTTGTGAATAAATTCTTAATTTTATTTACATAGAATGTATTATCTGTAAAGTTCAGATTAAAATCACCAGCTAATATAAAACGCCCCTTGGCTATCATATCATCTTCACAAATGTCTTCAAGATATTCCAAAAAAGTAGCATCTGAACTCGATGGTGAATGGTACAAGCAGCCAATAAACCATGTTGAAGATTTAAAATCAATTTTTAAAATTTTACACCAAGAGTTACCATCGAGTACAAATGTTTTATAGATAGAAAAATTAATAGTTTGTTGTATATAAAAGACTACACCTCCAGTATAGCGACTATTAGAGTCACATCGTACACAATTATACTGTTCCATCTTTATTTCTGAATCTTCAACATCCTGCGTTGTCCTGGTTTCACTCAGTAGTAGGACTTTTGGCTTATAACGTACCAGGCAATCATGAATTTCATCCTTGTGCTTGATGAGACTCTGAGCATTCATGTATATAATATCCGAGTTCAGTTGTATATTATTAGGAGTACTTACAAGTTTTTTTTAAATTGAACCTGATTTTTTGGAACGATTGTAGGCTTGTTATTTATAAATTTGATAGTTTTTGTACTATCACCACTTGCAACTAAGTTATCCAGTTGTGCCTTTATTTTACGGAAATAATCCCTTTGCGCTAGGGTTTGGTCTCCTGAAATCTTGATGTTTGGGGTTTTAATCAATTGTTTATTCTTTAGTATATGTTTAGCATCTTCCGGCGATTCCAAAATAACCTTTATAGGCCTATTCTTGTTTGGTAATATTTTACCTAATCTAAAAAGTTTAATATTTTCCATATTCAGATTGAAATTTTGAAGTTCATAACTAATAGTTTTCTTCTCCTCGTTCACTTTTCCAGTCTTATTTTGTAGTGGGCATTCTTCAACATTGTAGAGGATGATATTGGAGGCTCGGTTTTGTCTGTCAACCATTTCACAAATTATATCTTCTTTTTCAAATCCTTCATTGGCTCTTTCCTTAATTTTTAGTGTTTCAACTTCTTCTTTAAGTTTTGTTATTTCTCCTTCGAGCAGGGAAACCTTACGTAACAATTGTGGTACTTGCTTGAACGAAGTTGTGCAGTCATCACAAAAAAAGATCAAAGATCGTTTTTGTAACTCTAGGACTTTTATTTCTGAGGCAGTAAGTTTGGAGCAAGTTTTGGTCAAGTGAAAACAGATTCTGCAACTATCACATCGAAAGAAATCCTCTACTTCATAGTTTATTGCATTTCTACATGTGGAACAAGTTACCGTCATTATGTGAATAGTTTAATATAATTTCCAAATCTGATACGCCACTGGTAGTATTAATTTCAGTTGGACTTCACCCTTTTTTAGTTCTAGTTTTTGTACAGAACAGTTTTTTGTTTGGCACAGGTTTTGTAAAAAACTTTGATTGTAAAAACTTTTAGATCTCTTGCACTCATGTATAAATGCACAAATTGCAGGGCAGATCTTTCAAGTTTTTCCTTTCACTTCACTTCACATTAACGGAAAACTTAAACTGCATATTCTGATATAAGTTTCAATAATATTAGCACATTAAAACTGCAGTAACATAGTAAAAAAAGCAGACAAGTCAACAAGCGACCTTCTCTTTATAGCAGATCACACATTATTGGGGGCGAAGTTATTTTTTTCTCAAATTTTCGAGTTTGGTAGCCTTTAACTTTTTTCGGTACCATAGAAAAAAGTAGTCAAGCTGCAATATTATGTAATACGGTAATAATCATATGTATTCTAGGTGGTGAAGGTCCCATATCTTTCTACTCTGAAAAAAAAAGTCTGTAAGGAAGAGGATTTTGCCTTGTTCTCCTCTACACTATTCAGTGATAGTGTAGTTTCTGGAATCATTACTTCTTATAGGTATTTCCAAGGGTATTTCAGTTATTTTTATTACTTCAATTATATTTAAATACTTCTCAATTAGTTAAATTAGATTCAAATACTTGTTCCTGGACTTGTTCATTCTTCCAAAATACTTCAAATATTTGATAATTACTCCAAATCTCTTCAAATACCACTTGGTTACTTGCGAGGGGCAAGTCGCTGAGCAGAATGATGTACACTAATTCCTCAATGCCAAAATAATGCTTTTTAATTCACTATATTGACTAGTAATGCCTCATAATTCCTCCTCATGCCTCGTAATGCCCCGTAATGTCTCGTAATGCCTTGCAATTCCTTGCAATTCCTCGCAATTCCTCGCAATTCCACTGTAATTCCTCGCAATTCCACTGCAATTCTTTGCAATTCCTCATATTTATTCCGATTCATAATGAATAATATAAAGATCGGAATATTATTTTATGTTGTGTTTTTGTAAGAACAACTCACCCTGTATAGAAATTATCGAAAATCTGATCTTAGATCGAAAATCTACGGGAACAATCCTACAGGAACTTGTAGAAAAAGTTTCTGGTACCATTTCAGTTATTCCGTAATAAATTAGGTATTTTCAATTTTTTCACTGGAGGAATTTAATTGTCTGATGAAGTACTGACTCAAAAAAACTTGAAAATAAATTCGTATTTAGGCCGGAATGAATCTTTATTATGTTCAGTTCTTGTAAGAATAACTACTGACCTAGTAAAACAATCATCAATAATCTGATAGCAGATTTGAAATCTACTAAAAAAAATCTTATAGGAACTTTTTCAAAAAGGAATTGACTGAATTGTTTTTGGATTATATTTGCTCACTGATAAACGCTAATAAATTAGTATTTTTCCGTAGAATTTGAATCTGTGATCAGATTTTTGATAATTATTATACAGGGTAACTCAACATGATAAAAAGATAATACTCCGGTCCTGATATTGGTTTCATCAAAGGACTACTTGTTAAGGCCGCTTAATTCAATTCATGTACCAAATTTAACCCGAATCGGCATTAAATATGGAGGATTTAATTTGTTGTCCAAACTAACAAATCACTCTGTATGTCAGTAACGAAGCGGTTTTGGACATTTGTATACATGGCATTTTGCAATCATATTGGCAGTTCCTATATAAACCCCACGAGTTTTGTCATTATCTCCGGATACCCTGTATATCTAGTAAATACCAACCTAATTAACTGAAGGACTAATTAACTCTTTATGATGAAACTTCTACAATAACACCCAAAATAAGAACAACCAAAATAAATAACCGAGTAAATAACGTTTATTCGTCACTTACCTTGTTTATTTCAGAGCACAGATACCAGAACAGCGTATGTGTAGTATCGTGATGTCATTTTCCTAACCTAGCTAACAGTCTACTGAAGGATTTCAGTGATTTCACGTTTTCCGTTAACACAACTTGGAACACGTGGCGAGCGATGACGTAATCGAAATATCAACGCATGCGCAATTCATACTATAATGCCAATAATGCGCATCATAATTCCTCGTAATGCCACACAATTCCTCGTAATGCCACGCAATTCCTCGCAATGCCTCGTAATGCCTCGCAATTCCTCGCAATGCCTTGCAATTCCTCGCAATGCCTCGCAATTCCTCGCAATGCCATGCAATTCCACTCTAATTCCTCGTAATTCCACACAAGTGTACACCAAAATTCCTCAGCGAATTTCCCCTCGGTTACTTGGTTACTCCTAAATTTTTAAAATATCTATTAATTACTCTTGAATGTATTCTGAATTTTTCTTGAATATATCAAATCTTTTTCAATAGCCATCCATTATTTTAAGTAATCTCAAAAAACTTTTTGATACCTCAATAACTCACAAATACTAAATATTTTGAATATGTTGTTCACTTTCATGTGAGTTGTTTTCCCCTATGCCACAGGACTGCCAGGGACCACCAAAATAGTGTACACCAGACTTCCCCAATGATTTCCTTGTTATGAGGACTTATTTCAGATAACTTTTTTTCAGATTTAGAATCAGCATCCCCAAAACCCCACCAATTCATATTTTCTAAACCTCATGACATAATTTTAGTAAAAAATAAAAATTGTTTTTCATGAATACACCCTAAAATCTAAGTTATGGATGATGTGATTTTCTTGGAATTTGGATGGTGATTGTATGTTAAGAAAATATATAACCTACTTGCAAGCCTACTTGGCATATAAAACATTTTCATTTGACTGCATTTGACATTGGCCTGCAGTGTTGAGAAGGGTTGAATGCCTTTTTTGGGAAAAGGATATTAGGGCTCATTTAAGATGACTTTCTCAATCTGATTTAGAATCAGCATCCCTAAAAACCCCACATTCATAATTTCAAAATATCAAGAGCTCTGATTTTAGCAGAAAAACAATTCCAATACAACCCAAATGATAAAGTTCCTATAAGGGCAGTTGCAAGAATACTGAATTATGGAGTTATTTGAAATGCAATAGGATCTTTTTTCTGCTAAAATCAGCTCATGGGATTTTTGAAAATATGGATAATGGGTTTTATGGGTATGCTGGTTCTTAACCTGATAGAAGGAATTACCTCAAACTCAACCACAAATAGGCCCTAATATTCTTTTATCAAATGGCAAATGAAAATGTTCCCTATGCAAAATACTCTATTTTTCTAACATTCAATCATCACCAAAATTTTGAGAAAATCACATCATTGATAACTGAGATATTAGGGTGTATTCATGAAAAGCCAGACACACTGTATATGCATTCCTTGATGCAACCCCATCATATACATACAACAATACTTACTATACAGTAGGAACTGTTTCAAATAATGAAATACATAAACTAAAAATGGAAAATAATTCAAACCTCTTTCAAATCCAAGTGCCCCAGCAAATACCAATGCTGTAATCTCTCCCAAACTAAATCCAGCTGTACCAACACAGTTTGCAATTGCATTTGGTCGTTCCTCCTTAAGCTGTTCAATAGCTGCCAATGAACACACCATTATTGCTGACTGAGCATATTTTGTGCTATCTAACTGTTCCTTTGGCCCATGCAAACACAGTTTCAACAGATCATAACGCAAAATATAATTGGCAAGTTCAAACAGATCTTTCACCATAGGAAATTTCAACAAGTTTTTTGCCATGCCTACATATTGACTTCCTTGACCAGGGAATAGTATGATGGAAGTATCTCTTGGATCCTTTTTATTTTTCTTCTCAAATTCTCCTTGTTTTCTTACATTTGTGCCTTCTGGGTATGGTAAAGTGACCCATTGCTGTTCTTTATTTGTGATGTCTTGAAATGATGCAGAATCTTCTAACAATTTCTTCAATGGGGAGTCTTGAAGGGTTTCCTTGGAATCATCACTCTGTGATTTACATAAGATGGCATTACTCAATGATAATTGCCGGATAGATTGACAATGCTTATAAATTCTATATTTTTTTAGCATGATTTCACTAGATAGCTTCAACAAAGATCTGGGAAAATTCATTGTTGACGAAGTACCTAAGATGAGTTACCTTGCACGAATATTCCTTTTCGGAACATTAGTGAACAACATAATTTTATAAGGAAATCTCTGATTGCAAGAAAAGAAATCCTATTCTTTCAGAAAACCATTGTAATATACAGAAAAAAATTAAGTGAATCAAGAGGTTATGATGATGATTCTTCGATTTCGATCGTACGTGGCGATACCGGTTAGAGCCGTTAGAGGTCCTAGAACTTTGGCATGCCAAAGTTTGGCATAGCTAGACAAAAATGACTGTCTAAAGCAGTCTGAAGTTTGCAAAGCATATTTCCAACAATATTTCCAAAGAATAGTAGGTTAGTCACCTCCCCTATCAGTGAACTGCGCAAACAAAAAGATATAGAGTGATGAAACAGTTCGCACTTCATTAGTAAACTGTATATAATATGAGAGGAATCTTCAACGCTGGAGAAGTGTCTTCGGCTTTTGATGTACAGAGGGCAGTACGTTGATCTCACACCAAGGTTGGTAGAAGTGATGGTTTGATCATTTGGTTTGTAGAATTGATGATTATTTTCAATATAGTCATACCTACACTGAAAAAAATTCTTGCACTATTCGAAAAAATAGTACAATAGTAGAGTGTCAAACGTATCGTAAGTCGCTCAGATCGGAAGTTGGTGGGAGATCGGAGGTAAATAGCTGTGCCATGACTGGCATTGTTATACCAGGTTATACCTACCACCTCTAGATCATTTTGGGGGGTAGGGGGTGCTCAGCCAACACATCTGTGACATGATATTTTCAAGATGTCGCGTTTAGGTAACAGTGCGATATCACAAACGTACCATCGCTGCGATGTTCATAAGCAAACACATCTGCAACATAATATATCTCTGATAGATTTTGCGATGAGGCAACACTGCGATATTAAGAATTTCACATCGGTGTCACCGAAAAGCCCATTGGATGAGCTTTCAGATTATGGAATAATATACAGGGTGATTCATTTGAAAAAACTGAGTTTCGGCGATTTGGAAATAACTAAATTCGGTCCTTATTTTAAAACACCCTGTATATTTCGAGTGAATCAAAATAATGTCGGAGTTCCTACACATACTTTTAGTATCTGTATATACCCAGTTTTGTTCATAAATCTTTGAAAATATAGTTTCCCTGAATATTTTTCAACATTCATGTTTTCTCGTCAAATTTGATTAAAATGTTAATAGCTTGACAACGTCGCATCTGATCTTCAAAAACAAAATAGGTTTGTGAAGCCCACATGAGAGATATTCCGAAAATGAAATAATATACAGGGTGTGCCGTTAAAAACGATCGATTCTTTCACCCCGGATTCATATGGTGCACCCTGTATACTAGAAAATAATTTTGAAGAGTAGCTTATGAAGTCTCCAATAACTTATTCCGATGAATTTTTTTTTCTATCTCTATCAGCCTAGCAGCTATGGTCTGAGCGAGCATAAGTGGGCCACCCTGTATATGTATATATACAAATGATAATATTGGTGTACCTATATTGAAACCGTCACTTTAATGACGTTGCAGTGACGTATTTATGATGTCTATAAAAATCACGTCGGTGTCAGAAAATCTTCCAATAATTTGCTATTCAGATTTTTGTTGGGTGACAAATAATGCATGAATATACGTTACTCGACAAAGTGAAGCTAAATTTGCCAACAGCCTTTTCATTACTATCAAACTGTTTTTGGTTTGCTTACATCTCGCCGACACAAATTACACACAAATACGAGTAAGTGATTCCATTCTGATGAAGATGCGTACTGAGGGATAGCGCTGTTGAATAGACCCAGACAGCACACTGACAACGTTCAAATATACTAATTTCAGAATATTCTTATAGAATGTTCTCAGAATGATCATAGGATATTCTCATCCTGCAGCGAATATTCTATAAACATTCAATTTGACATATTCTCAGAATATTCAGAATCATATCAAAATAAATGATCAAGATGTTCCTATATATTCTTGTATCAATATTTATAAGATTTACCCTGACATTACCTATTATTCTCTAGCCTCCAATGCTGATTATCCCGCAAATTCAGTGTTGTCATCGTTATTTTATTTATCGATAAGGTTCGTGGCGATTCGTAAAAATTCATCAATCACAAGATAGTTGGTTCGCATCTCCACCGGAGCAAGAGCTTTTTTAATTTTCTTCATTCTTCTTCAATATGCTAGGAATATTCTCAGGATATTTAGAACAGTCCATTCCGGATGTTCATAAAACATCCCTTGGATATTTGTATCATATTGTGAGAATATTATGAGAATATTCAAATATTCTCGAAGAATATTCTATAAACGTTCTATGAATGACATTGTGCTGTCTGAGTTGGTGGTTATTTTACTTATATTTATTTCAGTTAGGTTTTAATTATTTTGGTGCAGAAGAAATAACATGTTTCATTCGGATAAAAAGTTACTTTTGTTTGACAAGCTGGCTTTGCGTTTCTAACGCTGTACTGCAATCAGGTCAATAATAAATATTGTTTAATAACATATTCAACCGACTCAGCATATTCATTACTGAACAGGTATAGAAGGTAATTATGTAGGACAGATTGCATATAGCTACTGTGGTGTATGGCTCACTAACTAAATGCTATTATATTGGGTGTAGAAAATGTGACGAGTTTTACTAATCTACCCTTATCCCGATTGCTACATTACATGGCGATCCTGCCATAAACTCACACAGTGAAGGTATTTGAGTAGTTTGTTGGGGAAATAAGTGTGAAAATGGGAGGAAAATCATCGAAAGAAGAAGTAATCATAGCGCAGACAGCAAGTGGTGATGCTGATGCCAAGCTATCACACATCACAAGAACAGAATGGTTGCTGATTTGTTTGGTGGTATTATGCTTCGTAGTCCTGGCCTATTTTATGATTAAAAAGTGGCGGAAAAATCTCAAGAAAATGGTCATTCATGAGGTCATCAGATGTCAGAGCAGAGACAACCTGAATGCTTCAGTTTAGTGCAAATCAGTGCAATTGGACAAATAAATAGACGACAAAGACTTGCTACAGTGTAAAGACAAAATTAAACTCAGTGGAAATGAAATGTTATAGAAGAAATGCTCCTGGTGTAGAAGAAAAGCTCCTGTTGTAGAAGAACCTATGGTAACCGCATAGAAGAAAGAAGAGCTCCTGCTTGGCTATTTAAGTCCGAAACTATGAAGAATTCGAGGTAGTAAGAAGATATACCTAGGGTGAGCGAATTGTATTTGTCGCCACATATTTTATTATGCATTTTTGGGTTTTATCGATTACATATAGGGACAATGTTGTATGCTATTATCATTTCTTTTTGATTTTGCGGATATTTGTGCACTATATAAGCTTGGAATGTTTTTTTTTCTTCATAAATGCCATCCTGGGAAGAGATCAAAACCGAACTTTCGATAAATAAAGAAAATCTATATAAAGAGTCTAAGCGAGCAATTAAAAAGAATACTCCCAAAAGTGAACATATTAGACAAGAAATTCGAGATAACCTAGTGAGATACTTTAATGAATACACTCGGATTGTCGCTATTTTCATTAATTCTTTAAATGATCAACAAAAACAGTGGGTTAAAAGGAATTTCCTTATAATCAGGGATCGAGTAGTTAGGTCATTCCAAATACTAGATACTAGATATATGGTTCCACTGTCTTCAGTTGAATCAATAGATCCATCCATCTTAGAAGACGATAGCGAGGACGAAGAAGAAATAATGCCTCTATCCGCTGTAGAATTTTTCAATTTAGCCCATAAACTAGTGCCAAACGAATTCAATGGATCTCCCGATAAATTACAATCATTTTTAGATGCATTGACCCTGCTAGAAAATAATGTGGAAAGTCAGGAAGAAAATGCTGTTGCTTACATAAAGACTCGATTGACAGGGAAAGCCCGAGATTTGATTTCTAATGAAAACACAATTTCAGATATTAGTAACGTTCTCAGAAATGGAATAAAAGGAGATAGTTCTAAATTTTTATCTGCTAAATTATCAAGTTTAAAACAAAATTCTAAAGACACAAACACGTACGCCACTGAGATAGAGTCACTGACGACTGACTTGAAAAGAGCATTCATCAGCGAAGGAGTCCCACATAGCGTAGCTGAGAATTATGCGACTGATATAGCCATTAAGAGGGGTTTAACCCTATGAGCGATCTTTGGGGAAACAAGGAACGGCAGAAATCAAAATACTCGAAGCTCGATGAATAAATTTAAGTTTTTTTTTCACGGATCGTTTCTAGAAGGTTAGATCTAGGCATCTCTCGGAGTACTTTTTCAAAATTTTGAAAAAAAATACTCGAAAAAAATTCCATAAAATTGACCAGATTCACTATTTTTTTTCTCACTAGGTATATATATTTTTTGAAAAGTACTTCTAGAGATGCCTCACTTATACATTTATCTTCGTTGTCAAAAAAATTCGCAAGGATCCATTCAAAATATCACCATCAAAAGTGATTTTTGCTGGACCTCTGCAGACGCAATTTTGGATCATTTTTCTTCACTGATACGAGCGCCCTCACACGAATATGCACTTCTACATGGATACTATGAATGGTTGAATGAATAGTGAATTCATTCATAAAAAGTAGCACTGAAGCTATTCAGAAAATTTTAGCACTGGAGATGAAACCAAAAGAAGTTTTAGATGGGTTGATTGAATTTTTGAATAGGTACGACGTATAGGTACGTTTATTAGGTAACCCATATAATGAAAATACGTATGGTTTGTAGGTAGGATCCCAATTTCAATTTCAAAATGCGAATATACGGAATGCCAGAAGTTCCATCATATTTATTCTAGGTAATAACTGGTATTAGATAATATACGAGTTACATATATTTTAATATTCTTGTCAACATTAAGAATTTGCCTTCTGGAAATATATAAACAGAGAAATCTCTCATTGAAGAATAATAGTTTCGCTCCAGGTGACTCACCCAATTAGATGATAAAAAATTGAACATGTTTGGCAAGCGGCAAGCGATGGACATAAAGGCGGTGAGCATAAAAGCGGCGGACATAAAGGGTCCGAAAATCCTGGAATTAGTGTTATGCCGTATTATACACGGGGGATTGGAATATTGTTTTTGTTCAGTTTACTTCAGTATTCCGACAGTGACATTTGCGTTTTTCAATATTTGTGCATTATTTGTGTGAGCAATAGTATA